TCACGCTCTCTCAGATCTTTCGAGGATACTCTCTGGGCTGTTGGGGCCGTCTAGGGCTATCTTGGGGCATCCTGGAGTGTTCTTGGGGGCCTGTCGGGGTGCCCTTGGAGGCTACTGGGGTCTTCTTGGGCTGTCTGGGCATGTGTTAGGGCTTTATGGGGGCCCTCTCAGGCCAACTTGGCGCCATCTTTTCTTTGTTGCTTTGCGGCAGGCACCCGCACGCTGGCGTCAAGTTTTGCGAAACTGGGACGATGCTGTCATGAACGCGCAGCTGCAAGCACTGTTCTGCTCGAACGTCTGCGGCATCTCGAATGCAGTTTCGTTTTCTTGGCCGGCTTTGCGAACCAGCATCGCCGTCGTCATCATCCTTCTCGTAGTTGGCATCACAATATCCATCGCCACAATAATTACTTAATAGCACCGTCGTCATCGCCATCATCAACACCATAAGCAATCGCCGCCGTCCCCGTCAACATCATCACCCATATCTCCGTCATAAGTGTTCATCTTCATGATCGCCTTCACCATCGTCGTCGTCGTCATTGCCCCGCCGCGCTTTGTCATCATCGTAGCTGTCTCCAGTGCTTCCGTAGTCACCGATATCAAATTCAAATCATTATGCTACTGGCAGTTGGAGTCGGTCCGCGATCGCCCATCGCCTTACTCAATATTGACGGCTGCTTCCCTTGGAGAGGTTTCCGTCCCAGCCTCAACGCTCGCATTGCAATCAATTGCCATCGCTTTTGCCATCACGGTCGAAATCGTGAATCACGCGTGCCATTTCGCAAATGAGGGGTCCAGAATATCAAGGCCCCTCGTTGAAAGAGGGGTCCGGTGAATTAAGTTGCAACTTAATTGGGATCTGGTTTTGTAAAGAGGGGGTCGTTATTAGTAACGTAGCCGCATGGCCGGGGAAGTCGCGTATAACATCTTGTAGCAAATCTGGCGTGGCGACTGCGGCCAATGCTGATGGAGAGGCCAACGTGGCGCCATTTTAGGCTGTCTTGGGCCGTCTTGGGGCCCTCTTGAGCAGTCCTGGGGCCTGTCTGTTTGGGCGCTGTGGGGGTCCCCTACTGGGGCCTTCGGGGCTCTCTGGGTCCGCTTTGAGGCTCTCTGGGGGCGATTCCAAGACAATACTGGTTCGGAGCCCCTTCCGGAGCCGATTTGTCGAGGATGTCTCGGGCGAAACGGACGGCTTGTCGGACAACGTCGGGTTGAGAACGTCAAGGAAACTCAGAAACGAATCGCAGACGACAAACACAGATGGGATAATTGTTTTGTTATCTTGTACAAGATATCGGGCGCTCTCGACTCCGAAACACAAGCTCTGCCACTCTCGGCCAGAGTGTTTGAGCCGACGCGGAGCATGCAACGATCAAAACAAAAAAACAAGAGGTCGGGGCGGAGGGGGCACAGCGAAGTGTCTCAGCTTGAGCCGTGTCTCCAGACTCCTGAGCGGACCTGACTCCAGCCTGGCCCCACCCTGGGAAGCCTCGAACAAATCGGGCTCTGTGTTTAACCTCGAGGAGCCTTCCGTCTGAGCAACGCTTGTCAGGCGTCCAAACAGGTGCAACAGTAGGGACTGACCAGGCATGTGTAGTAGTCTGGTACACCCATAAATTGACCCGCTGCTTACGCCTGGCACTGGCCAGAGAAACAAAACGAACATTGATTACGAGAACATGATATCCGGAAAAACATCGGCTCCCGTCGGACAAATGGTGCCGAGGCTGACCCGCTGGATATCCGGTGTTTTGTTGCGAACAGTGCCCGCCGCACGCTCCAAAGACTGGGCTTGCGATGCGGGATGGCTCCTGCTCTTGGAAGCGCGAGGGCCACACTGTTGGAATCGGACGCTAAGAGAGCGAGGTTGCACCGTTGGGTAAACCAACGGGGAAAAGTCGAACCCACCCCCCTGCCCCCCCCTCGGCAGCCCGTCGCCTACCCCCGACCCGACCCAAACCAAGCGGCATCGATTCCCTCGCTTCCGCGGCCCTCAAGGCCGCATTGGTCGCCGCACCGAGCCAAGCCGCGGACCGCAACCGTGGAGGTCGAAATCGTTTAGCACGTCGTGGCCGGAAAGCACGCCGCCCACAACTAAAAACGCCATCCTTCGGCACGCATTTCCATCGGCCGCCGCACCAAGCTGCGCGCGCAGACGGGTGAAACTGAGAGCCGAAGTCCCTCCAGAACACGTGCTCGGCAAATCCAAGCATCGTTGGGGAGGATTCCTGGCCAACGCGCCATATCTGGCCGAAGACCGCACCACGTATAGAAGCAGACCGCACCACGTTGAGAAGTACGGCAACGACGAAATCATAAGCGGGCACGTGCGGAAAGAGTCATTGCGCACTGTAACATGTCAAATTGAGCCGTAACCTGTACAGAGGCCGAGACGGACCTTCAGCAAAGTGATCTTGTGAGAAACCTTCTTCAGCAGTAGTAATATACAATGGTGTAGAAGACCGCCCCACTTGAGCTTTCACTTGGCCCGAAGTCCCTGTCATTCATCAGCAGGCGGCGAACATGTTCTCAACCTCCCTACCAGCACACGAGAAACCGAAAAGTGGAACGGCTGTCTCTGGATGGCCCTCGCAAGAGCGGGAGAAGGGCGGCGGAAGGAGCAAGAGCAGGAAGGGAAGGAGAATGGGACGAGGGAGGGGGCCCGCGTGGGATGGGCCGCGTGAGTTTTGAGGTGTTTATTGCACTTTCACTTGGCCCGAAGTCTCTGTCGTTCATTTGATGGAGGCGAAAATTTTCTCAGTTGACTGAGCCGCACGCGAGGAGACCCCTCACTTGCCACAGGCAGAAATCTGCCCGCTCGCATAACAGCGTACAGACGCACTGGTGGCTGCGTCGAGGCCCTTGCCGTGTGTGAAAGCCAAAGCGTGAAACGATTGTCTCCCGATGGCCCTCGCAGGAGCGGGAGGGCGAGTGAAGGAGCAAGAGCAGCAAGGGAGGGAGCATGGAACGAGGGAGGGGGCCAGAATGAGTGAGGGGGAAAACGTAGCACTGCACCTGTGAAGAGTGTCAACAGTGCCTACCAAGCGGGCTGCGTGTGTTGCAGCAGGTCCCTGAAACTGGACAACGTGGCTCCAAAAACAGCTCTGAGTGGCCCGAGGCTCACAGCTCTGCTGCTCCTGCAGCCAGAACTCTAGTTCCGTAAAAGCACGGGCCCCAATTTTTCCAGGCGCTCCTGGGCCGGTCTGGGCCCGCATGGGACCAGGGAGGGGGCCAGGATGTGCGACGAGGGGGAAAAAGCAGCACTGCACCTGCGAGAGGAGTGCCAACAGTGCCTACGACATGCGAAGCGGGCTGCGTGGGTTGCACCAGGTCCCTGAAACCGGGCCACGTGCTTCCGGACGCAGCTCTGCGTGGCGCAAGGCTCACCGCTGTGCTGGCCCTGCAGCCAGAAATCGAATTTCTTGGAGGCACGGTTGGACGCCCGAAACGAGTACGGAAAAATGGGTACAATTCCCACCAACAAATGTTGTCCCAATCCATCAGCGGCCGCTGTTGGGCAGGCGGCCTTCTGTCTCAAGTGGGCGCAGGCCGCGGCGGCGCGGACAGAGAATTCTACAAAATCAACAGGAACTGCTGTTGGGCATTGCACACACTCTTTCCGTACCCATTTCGTTCGTGCCGAGCACGGACCTGAATCTCCCAGGCGCTCCCGGGCCGGCCCCGCGTGAGTTCTGAGGTGTTCAACTTTCACTTGGCCCGAAGTCCCTGACTTTCATCTGCAGGCGGCGAATGTTCTCAACCTACTTGGCCGCTCACGAGCAGGTCCCTCACTTGCCACAGGCAGGAATCTGACGGCTCACAGAACAGCGTGCCGACGGGCTGGTAGCCCCTGCCATGTGTGAAAAACAAAGCGTGAAACGGCTGCCTATGGATGGCCCTCGCAGGAGCGGGAGAAGGGCGGGGGAAGGAGCAAGAGCAGAAAAGGAGGGAGCATGGGACGAGGGTGGGGGCTAGGGGAAAAACGTAGCACTGCACCTGCGAAAGAAGTGTCAACAGTACCTACGAAGCGGGCTGCAACATATGCGATAGTGTGTTGCACCAGGTCCCTGGTACCGAGCCGCGTGCTTCTAATAACAGCTCTATGGCCTCATAGCGGACCGATTCCAGCGCGGTGATGCACTCCCTTACTCTCCAAGTGATGGAGCGGGACACATACTCTCTACGCATGTCTCGCCACACTCGAAACACTTGTTTCAGAACCGGTATCCCGAAAGGGCCGAATGACCCCCCCTCTTAGTGTCCCCTCTCCCGACATATTCTCTCCAGGCGTGTTCCAACCCTAGTTCTCCACACTGCTTGTTGTGACCTTATGGCGTACGGGCGGCGAGCGAAATACTATGCTACCGACGCACATCCTCGTCACGCAGAAGCTAGACGTGCTCGCGTTTCATTGTCCTCAGACGGCGGTCTTGGCCGCCCCTGCGCACAACCTGGACCTTGCAGGTGCCCTCCTCGAGGTCGACACCAGGGGCGACGGCACGCGCGCCTGCTGGGCAAGTGCCGACTGCCTTGTCATTGACGAGCGAGCCGGGCTCAGGAAAGCCGAGAAGAGAGGCTGCCCCGCGGGCGGCGCTGGCCGCAGGCCCTGCGCGAGCGTCGAGCCCAACCACGGCAGATCCGAGCTGCCAAGGGCGCACCGCCCTGCCGCCGCGCCTCCCGAGGACCCGCCGTGCACGTCGGACGAGGCGGCGCCACTGGAATAGCCTCCGTGTGAGCAGGGACCGACCGTCCCGGCTTGCCTGTAGGCCTGCCACGACATGTTCTTAGAACCAAAAGGTGTTCTGAGACCAACAGCAGTGCACTTAGAACATGAGCCCGATGCGTCACGACAGGACAGCCCCAGCCAGAACTGTTCTGAGAGCATCTCGTGCCGACCACTGAAGGTTATTATGAACATTTTTTGGTTGGCCTACAGGCAAGCCGGGACGCTTCGCCACTGCTCCATCCAGAGCCTGGAGCCTGCGTGGAGCACTCGCTCAGCCCGTCGTCGCCGAGGTCGTCGCTGACCGAGCATTTTCTTGGGATGGAGGGCTCAGGGTGAAATCAATATGGGCTTTTGCACCTCGACAACCAATCCGTCGTGTGATTCACATTTTGAAGATTCAAGCCTCGAAAATCCTTCGAAACGGCATGTCAGATTTCACCCTCTGCCCCCCACCCAGAGAAAAATGCTCGGGCTGAGGTCCGCCCACGCGGCCCTCTGCCGGGCCGGCGCCGCGGAAGCGGCGGGGTGCGCGACGCGCGCCAGGCCGGCGTGGAGCGGGTTGGCCGTGAGGGCCGGATCCTTTGTAGGTCCATCTTCCACCACCACTACCATAGGCAGGAAAGGGAGGAGGAGGAGGAGGAGGCGGAGAAGGAGGAGGAGGAGGAAGGTCCAGTCCAAGCACCCCCAACCGAACCCAAAGGGAACGGGAGGAGGGCCGAATTGAGAGAGAAGGGTCAGCCAAGCGCTGACAGCGAGAAAGGGTCAGCGTAGCGCTGACAGCGAACAGCGAGCCGTACTGCTGCCGAGGACGCGTGCTAACCGCGCCAGGCGGCAGGCACTCCCTGGTTCAATCACCTGGCCCCGCAAGGGGCCAGGGAGGAAGCAGGGGAGTCCAAGAAGGCAGCAGTGGGGCCCGCCTATACAAGAGAAATCTCCTTCCCCGATCGTGGCTCGAGACCCTTCTTCACCCGCTTGATATGCGAGCGGATATTGGCCAGCGTGGACTTATTGCTGGGAGGGCCAGGGCACACGAGGAGAAGGTTTCGAGCGAATTTCAAGATGTTGGGCGAATAGGCCCCACATCTTTCACATATAGCTGCAGGGCCCCATTTAGCCAACATATGACCTATACCGAGGACTGGGGGCCCAGAACACTTCGAGTTAAAAAGAGTCTGAAAACTTCGAGGAGGAGGACGAGGAGAACCTCCTCATCCTGCATGGTGGTGGTTGTGGAGAATGTGCCCCATCCGTCCTCGCTCTCCCCGCTCGGTGCGCTGGACAGCGCGGGGATCAGCAGGCAGCCGGCGGCAAGCCCGCGCACGGAGACGCCGCGGCCCCCCGACCCGGGCGAGCCGCAGCGGGTGCGCAGGCGGCGGAGGCGGGGCAGCTTCCGGGTGGGCGGCGGGAAGGCCGCGCGCACGCCGCACCGCAGCAGGACGGGCCTGCACTCGTCACGCACGCTCTCGTGCATGAGCGGGCTGTTGCGGTAGCGGTCGAGGTGCTCGTCCAGGCCTTGGGACAGGCTCCAGTTCACGACGAGCTGCCCTTCGCCATGCTCGCCCCAGCTGAGGCCGTCGGACTCGGCCAGGAAGCGCTGTGCGTGTTGCGGTGTCGTCAGATTACAGAACGCGTATCCAAAATTCTGGAATTTCGCGAAGTCGATCGGCAAATAGAGAAAGTCGTACAGGCCCGCAAAGCCCCACGAGTCGATGCATTGCAGGAGCTGGTTGCGCGAAATGTGGATGGGGACATTCCTGATTGCCACCGTCGTCTTTGACTCATGGCCACCCCGGCCTTCCACTTCTTTCGCCTGCTTGGCCACGTCAGGGGAGCCATCGGGGCGCTCGACCTCCCTCGCCTGCCTGCTCCAGGAAGGTTCGTCCCTCCTGATCGACGCGGCTGGCGAAGAGAAAGCCCTCTTTACGAGCTTCTCCACGGAAGGGCTGCTGTCCTCCTCGACAACTTCGATGAAGGTGCCCTTCACGACAATGCGCATCCCAGTGCGCGGGAATCGAAGACTCGCGAACGTCTTCGTGTGCGCTGCCATATGCATGACACGGGATGCAAGAAGAAAGAGAAACAGAGAGAGAGGTTTAGAAGATGCCACACACAAGAGTCTGGGCCAGAGAGACAAAACATGTGAGCCACAAGTGACAACGGAGATCCCATTGGATCATTGTGCTGGTCTGCCGTTCTGTTCTGCCGTGCTGGTCTGCCGTGCTGGTCTGCCGTGCTGCTGTGGTACGTCGCGCTGGTCCGCCGTGCTGCTGTGGTCTGCCGTGCTGGACTGCCGTGCTCCTGCTGGTCTGCCGTGCTCGTCGGGCGTGCTCCCGTGGTGCACCGCGGACTGCCGGCGTGGACGGTGCTTTGTGCGTGCTGGGCGGGCGGAGGGGGGGGAGGGGGTACAGGGCAGTTTTGAATACATTGGATGTTTAAAAACATCTGATTTTTTATCCACGGTTAACTTATGAATAAATTTATGCATGAACTCATCTATGTGTGTAATACTAAATCCCTGCATCTTTAATACATGATGTGTTAAAAACGGCACTGTACGCTGTGCGTGCGGGCTGCGGGCTGGGGGGGCGGGCGCTCGAGGTCTGCCTTGCTCCTGTTCGGTCTGCCATGCTCCTGCGTGGGCCACCGTGCTGCTCTTGCGTGGTCTGCCGTGCTCCTGCGGCGTATTTCGTTGTGCGCCTGCCTGGTCCGCCGTGCTCCTGTGTGGTACGACGTGCTCTGGTGTACTCTGCCGTGCTCATGCGGGGTCTGCCGTGCTCAGGTGCTTCGCCGTGATCCTATGGTCTGCCGTGCTCCTGTGCGTTGCCGTGGTCCTATGATCTGCCGCGTGCCTGCCATGGTCTGCCGTGCTCCTGTGCAGTCTGCCGTGCTCCTGTGTAACATGCCGTGCTCCTACGGGGTCTGCTGTGCTCCTGTGGTCGGCCAAATCCCTAGGACGTGCAATGTTCCTGTCAAATCTGCCGTGCTCCTGTTTGGTCTACCGTGCTCTTGTGATCTGCCGTGATCCTGTGTAATACGCGGGACTCCTGTGTAATCTGCCGTGCTCCTGTACTCTGCTGTGTCCCTGTGGTCTGCCGTGCTACTGTGGTCTGCCGTGCTCCCATGATCTGCAATGCTCTTGTGTGGTCTACTGTGCCCCTATGGTCTGCCGTGCTCCTGTGCTGTCGTGTTCCTGTGTGATTGCCCGTGCTCCTGCGTGGTTTGCTGTGCTCCTGTGAGGTCTGTCATGCTCCTATGTGCTCTGCCTTGCTCCTGTGTGATCTACCGTGATCCTGTGGTCTGCCGTGCTCCTGTTCGGTCTGCTGTGTTCCTGCGTGGTCTGCCGTGCTCCTGTGTGGTCTGCCGTGCTCCTGTGCGGTCATTTTTCGTTCAACCAATGTGGGTGGGTCGTGTGTGGGTCGCGAGTGGATTGCAGGTGGGTCGCGGGTGGGTCGTGTGTGGGTCGCGGGTGGTTTGCGGGTGGATCGCGGGTTGGTCGCGAGTGGGTCGTGGGCGGATCGCGGGTTGTGTGGCGGGTGCGTCGCGGGTGGGTCGCGTTCTTGCGCGGCGTGGGTCGCGGGTGGGACGACGACAACAAAAAACAAACAACAAACAACGCAACAGCATCAATCCGAACCGCGGGACCTCGCTTCAGCCACGAGCCCAGGGACACTGAATGACCGTTTCCCCCCCCCCCCCTCACTCTCGCTGCAGCGTGGGCCTCATTGTCAGATCGGCGCTGTGCTCCCGTCGTTCAGAATGGCGCTACCGCCCAAGCGTGGGCCACTGTTCTAAGTCCGACAGGTGCCGCAGGTCCCGCAGGTCTCGCAGGTCTCGCAGGCCCGCAGGTCACACAGGTCCAACAGGGCCCACTGGTGCCGCAGGTCGCCCCACAGGCCCCACATGAACCACAGGTCTGACAGGCTCCACGGGTTGCACAGGTCACACAGGTCCCACAAGTGTCGCAGGCCTCGCATGCCCCACAGGTGCCGCAGGTCCTACATGTCCCGCAGGTCCCACAGCTGCCAGAGGTTGCGCATGTCTCACAAATCCCACAGAGGTTCCCCAGGTCCTACAGGCCCCACAAGTTCCGCCGGTGCCACAGGTCCCACAGTTCAGGTCTCACAGGTCCCACAGTTCCCAGGGCCCACAGGTCCCGCAGGTCCCACAGGTGTCGCAGGCCTCCCGGGCCCCACAGGCCACAGAGGTCCCCCAAGTCGCACAAGTCCACAAAATTCCTTTCCGACTGCTCATGACACGATGGGGTCTGTTGTGGAGTTCCAGGTCGACTATACACGCGTCTACGGATAGCGAACAGAAAAACAGCGCCATGAGAAGGGATGGGGAGGGGTAGCATGTCAGATATGGCGCGAGCGCACCTAGCTTGTCCTCTTCCTCCTCTCCCACCTCCACCTCAATATCCTCCTCTCTGTCGCTGGCATCGGTGGCTCCCTGGGGATCCAGACCCGAGCTGCGGGCCCGGGCAGATCACCAGCGGACGCCCAATAATCCGAAAGCAAGGCGTCACCTTCTGCCCCGTTCTGCTGCGGCGAGGCGACGAGGCATCTGGGGTGCACGCCCCTCCCTGGAAGTGAGCGCGCCGTCCAGGCATCTGCATATCTCGGAGCAGGGCGAGTTGTTGAGACAGCGGCAGCTCAAAATCGATCTCTGCCCCCCTCTTCTCCTTCGGGGAGGGGCTACCCCTCCCCCTCCCCCCTCCCCCTGGACCTGGACGGGGCGCCCCGCGAGGCATTGGAGCATTTAAAATAGCCTCGGCGAGAAGTCACAAATCACTGATATTACTAAGATGTTGGACCCATTTCAGCCTCCGGGGGGGGGGGGCTCGTTTACCCCCCACGTCTGTGATCGAACTCCTCCAAGATGGCCCGAAGATAGCCCCCAAGACTCCCAAGGGTGCCCCGAGATGGCCCCTAGAGGCGTCCAGGAGGCCCCAAGAGGCCCTTAGTGGGTTATCAAGAGACCCCCAAAAGACCCCAAAAAGACGCCAACAGGCTCCCCAGAGACACTCAAGACGCTCCTCGAGGCCCACCCCCCCGACTGCCAAGAGGCCCCCAAGACGCCCCAAGAGGACTCGAAGAAGCGCTCTAAAGACATGCGAAGAGACTCCAAGAGGTATCCAAGAGGCCTCTGGCCATTCTGCTCGCCATCCTCCTCCTCCTTCCTCCTCATCCACCCCCTCCGCCTATTCCTCATCCTCAGTCCTTCCCTTCACCTCCCCCTCCCACTCACACTTCTCCTCCTCCTTCTCCTCCTCCTCCGATTCCTCCTCTGATTCCTCATCCGTCCTCCTCCTCCTCTTGGGGCACGACGGCTTCCCCAGCCCTGATTATACTGCATGCTCTCCCACGTCCATAATGAAAGCAACTTGCCTCGGCATCGTCTCTGCATGCGCTGGTGGGGTTACGCGATAACGTCCAACGTTTCAAGGACATGCAAGGCTCCCGTGACTTGCCACCGGGAGATAATGCCGCCCTGGCCCTTTGGCTTACCCGAATGAGCTGCACCCCCCCCACCCCACTTCGTGCGGGCCAACCCGCTCTCTCGTCTTCGTCGTCGTCGTCGTCGTCGTCGTCGTCGTCGTCGTCGTCGTCGTCGTCGTCGTCGTGGTCGTCGTCGTCGTGGTCGTCGTGGTCGCCGTCGCCGTCGGCGTCGCCGTTCGTCGCCGTCGTCCGCCCCCCCCGCCCCCCCTTTCTGAAGGCAGCGGAAGGCCGGGTGGCTGCAGGGCCTGATCGAGGTGCTCCTGAGCCATCACCTCGTTCATCACAGCCTCCTCCTGGCGGAGCGGCGCTGTGCCACCACCGATCGCTCTGCATCTGGGACGCGCGCATCGTTGCAGGCGAAAGCCGCAAGCGAAAGTGTGTCCGAGACGCTGCCCGCAGGAGTGACCACGTGAACCTGTCCTTTTTCGGCGTTTCCACTTTGGGCGGCATGGGGGGGAGGGGGGGGTCTTGCTCCAGACCTCTGCTTAGACTACTGTTTGGAACCGTGCGTCCTCTGGGGGGAGGCTCCACCACTCCTCGTCCTCCTCCTCCTCCTCATTCTCCTCCTCCTCATCCTCCTGCTCCTCCTCCTCCTCCTACTCTTCACAATTCCGTCCCATGTCAGTCTGCCTCTCAACGTCCTCGCCCACCTCGCCGTCCAATCCTGTTCCTCTTGGCCCTCCTCGTCTCACTCCTGCTCATCGCGCTCCCCACCGTCCTCCGCTTTCCCCTCTCCCACCCACGAAGCGTCCTCCTCGTCGTCGTCCTTCCCCTCCACCATCTAGGAGGGAAAGGCTTGCTGAACAACGCATCCTCACGATGGACGTTGACTGCACCCGCGCCTGCGACGCTAATTTGTTTGTGACGTGGGCCCCCGAAGCTCTTGACCCGATCTCATTGCCCGGCTGTTCCTCCCGGATACGTATTCTACGGGTCTGGGGCCCGAGATGACCTCTCTCTCTAGAGGCACAACACTTGTCTCGCACCGAAGAAATGTATCGATGTTGTCCCTGATGCCTGATGTCCCGAGCTCGGGGGTTAAATACCGACCCCCAGACCTTTCCAGACGAGGAACCTCGGATCCGACGAACGGGGCGGGGATAGCGCAGACGAGGGGTTCGCGAATCAGCTCACTCAGCTGGTCATCCTGGCACATCGCGGCGTTTAAGGCGCCAGCGTCGAGGACTTCGCCCAGCGGCGGGTCCCAACCAGCTGCATGCCGCAGATTTCGTATCCCCCCCCCTGCCCCCCCCCCCATCGCGCATCGCCTGCACGAAAGAGTGACCCTGAGCAGGAGTGGCCTCTGGTGCGCGGCTCTCTGGGGACCCAGGGGGACCAAATACTTTAGCGCGCAGACCAATGCCAGGGGCCCCCCTCCCAGACCTGCGATGTCCTGCTTCTCCAGAATGGGGTCCCCGGAACTTCCGACCCTTTCCCCTAGACTGGTTCTTCGTCCTCAATCACTCTTAACGGCCCCAGGGCCCAATAAGGGTCCCCAGAGGCAGGAAACAGCCAAAAACCTCCCGTCCTCATGCTGTTCACTACGCGAGCATGTCTGCGCTGTGGAGCTGCACCACACGTCACTCTGGCGAAAGGCCACTCTCGGGTCGGGCGAAAGGGGGGGATAGCAGAGGGGGGGGTGAGAATCAGCTCACGTAGCTGATTTTCCCGGCGCCTCCCGGCGCCAGAGGCGGCTATGTATCGAGAATGGGCCCCTCGGCGGGGCCGAAACCAGCTGCATGCAGCAAACTTCGAAACCCCCCCTCTCCCAATCCCCCCGTTCCGTCCAGCCCGACACTCTTCCGTGCAGCCGACCCTGTCCCGATCCCCCTCCCCGGGGCCCCAGGGGAGACCGGGTCCAAGGGGGGGGGGGAACGACGACCTGAAACCGGCGACACGTCGCCAACAGATTGTCGATGGGCCCCCGAGAGCGGAACCGCACGCTCCTGGGCGGGCCCAGGAGAGTGCGGTTCTGCTATCGGGGATCTTGTCCTCCTCGTCCTGCTAATTAAGCTGTCGCCGTCGACCCTGGAAGAGCGGGAAGGGAGCCTCGAGGGGCGCTCTCGGACAGGAGGAGGAGGAGGAGGAGGAGGAGGAGGAG